TGCTGCATCTGTGGGCAGGCATCAGAGACTGCAGCCAGTGGCCAAGATCCAAGTTTCGTTTATTGTCTTAGCCATTGGCCATAACAGCACAAAGTAAATCAAAGCACAACAGAAATATACATCAATAACTTGCAGTAAGTCCTAGACCCCGTCTTATCTTTTTTGCCGCCAGTGCAAACAAAGCCATTCTGCTAGTAACATGTGCATCAGTATCAGAAAGCAAGAACACGGTCAAATACTGCTCAGCAGTTCCATTATACAGAGGTACAATAGGATAAATAAACCTTTGCCTAAGTGATTCGTGCCATAAACATCTCAGAATGTAATGCTCGACATCATCCACTTCATCCATACCACATAGGCATATTCTAGAAGCGGCAGGGGCACCCAGAAAGCGACCAATACAAACCATTGAAGGTATGGCATGGAACCTTAGGGCAGTAAAAGCCCTTCTCAGCTCCAAAGTAGTTAGTTTCTCAAGATATACAGTCCTACAATGGTCTCTTTTGAAGATCTTATACAAGGGGGCTGTACGGCAACTTACTACCATATGTCGATTCAAAAGCCCATCCTTATTAAATACCCATTCCTTCAATGTAGCCCTTTGGTTTTCGTTTACCAATAGGTCATCGGGGATTGAGTATTTCACTAAAATAGAGTTCAAGTAATCATCTGATCTTTTCGAGGATTTCAACAGCAAACCAAAACTTTGAACACCTAGAATATCCTGAGGTCGTTCTAAACATTTCCTCCAATACGAGAGGATTCTTACATTTGCCCTGGCTTTCAGGGATACCATACCCAGTTCAGCCCTCATGGTAAGACCAAAATCCGCCTCATAAAATAATTTTGCACTGTTTCTAGCAGGGACAGCAGCGATTCGTCCCAACCCCAAATCTCTACCCCATACAGCATTGCTGAAATTATCTTACTCGTGTATAATTTAACAACTGGGTCAATCATACCTCCACCCCTAGAAAAGTAAAACTTCAGCAAAGCCCCTAGATTGTTCATGGCAACGGTCTTCAGTTGTGTGATATGGGGATGCCAGGAGAGGGTTTCTGAGAAGTTTATACCCAGATATCTGTATGTGCTACATTGCTCAATTGGTGTACCAAGAATACTCCAAACGGATTTCTTGGGTCTTTTCCTGAAAACTAGCACTTTAGATTTGGCGTAGTTTATTTGCAGGGCTTCTGCCCTGCAATATTCGCCCAATTTATTAAGTAACCTCCTCAGACCAATCTTGGTTACAGAAAGAACCATATCGTCCGCATACAAAAGAATTGGAACTTTGTATTGCCCTATGGCTGGTGGCATAAATTCACTGCCTTCCAAATTGGCAATTAGGTTGTTCAAATACAAATTAAACAGGGTGGGAGCTAGCACACAACCCTGTTTCACTCCCTCGTGCACAAGTATCTCTTCCGTGAGCCGGCCCTCCCTTCCGACCTTGACACTTAGCCAGTGGCCAGCGTCCCTGGTGTGAGTGACGGCTGCCTCAGCCTATGGCTGAGGGAGCGCATCGAGCGTGGTCACCCAAAATTAGCTTTATAATATAGAGACTGTGACGGCCAATGGCCACATACAATACACTTTATTCTATTCTATATTGCAGTATTGTCACCCAAGGCAATTAATGTACATCTTACATTCATTCTCTGCTATAAAACTAATATTATTTTGATACTGTAAGAGGTCTCGAACAAACATATGGAACAGCACTTGCATTATCCCACAGTAACCCACCTTGTGGACAAGTCCTTCCCTCCTCACCCTCTGAATATATTTTTAACTTTAAAAATTGCAGAACACATTTATATATGGTAGGCGACACATCCTACTGAAATTCTTGTCATTTCTGGTGGATGTTTCTTTATTAAAACATTTATACTGTGCCTTTCCCTGGGGGTTCAAGGCTGCTTACAATTCTAAACTAGAACCATTCATAAGACCACCTAACTCACCAAGAAAATGCCTACAACCCAAATCCCATTAAAAGTACTAACAAATAAAACACAATGCCTCCTAAAAACTTCCAAGGATGGCACTATCTTCACTTCCTCAGGGAGCCCATTCCACAAAACAGAAACCATTAGTGAAATGAACAGACTCTAGTAGATGCTAAGTGGGCAGTCTTAAGAGGGAGGACAGCCAGAGGTGGCAGCTAGAGGACCATAACAGACACACATGATTTATGGGGAGAGATGGCCTTATGTGGGTCTAGAGCCATGAAGAGTTTTTATTATTAAGCTATTATCTCCTCCTCCTTCAGTTGGTTTTATGGTTTGTGTGGTTAACATAATACAAAATACCTTCAATTTAAGATATAAACCAATGGGAAAAAAAATCAAAACACTGGTCATGAAGGAACTGAAGTGACATAACAGTGGAACAATGAAGACTAGCAACAAGTTAATGGTTAGGATGCCTTCAACAACAACTTTCTCCTTTTGAAAAACTATCCCATTATCCTTGAGGGCTGTGCTTTATTTACCATGTTTCTGAAATGAATGCTACAAAATTACAAGGTGAACATAATACTAGCATACTCCTAGCTTCCATCTTTTGTCCTGATCATTATCCACAAGTGCACTGTCCTGAAAAACGGGAATTACAAGAATTGAACAGACTAATACTCAATTTTCCAGTGAAAGCTTTAATCAAAAGTGCTTAGGTCACTAAAGTTTGGACCCAAGCAGACATTTACATGCGCTAATGCTAGATAGGAGCATTATGGGATACTGTGTTGCCCAGATTAAAAAACACACTTTGACAGGAATCAGTACATTTAGTATGGTAATACAGTAGGAATACTTTAATGTTTCTGAGCTGGCTCTTAGAAGTGATTAGATATCCAGATTAGACCTGCCTCAGAGGTAAGCTCTTCCAATTTGTTATTTCCTACAAATGTTTAGGATGTACTATAGCATACACATCACTTCTACTTGTGTGAAACCTCCCTTCATACAGCTAGAGTCCACAAAATCACAATATGTATTAAGAAGACATCCTAATCTTTTTCATCTTTTATGTCACAAATTCATAAACATATTTGAATGAAAGAATCTACCTCATTCACTTTTTAATCAAAAAGTTGTCACAACAACACATAAGCAGTCTCTTTTTAAAATCTTGTATGCAATATCTAACATACAGATTTTTATATAATGCTATGTTCCAGTACATGTTCCCCATAAACAGATCATTCTTACTGCTAAGACAGCACCAAGTTTTTAGGGAGTCTACCAATTCATGAGAAGCTCAGTTTGTGCAATAAAATACACTTCTGATTCCAGAGTCAGTGGAGACTACAATAGCCATCCTTCGTATACTGCACACACATAAAATTTCTGTAAAATGGAGAATCCTATCTTGTGTCTATAAAAGTAGTATCAGGATCATAGAAAAAATTATTCTTTCAAGTGTATTAAGTATCTCGTTATTTTTGGATAGCAGAACAATAAGACTATACATATACAAAAAAAAAATGCAAATTGCACTCACATCCCTTTAAATTCCTTCTAAGACCCGTGAAACAGACAAGAGATTAGCACCTGTTAGAAGGAGGAACACGCAGCCTCAGCTTATCATCAGTGTACCTTTTTTAAAACGCTGAATACTGTAGACACAAAAATCAGGAAGCAGTTCTCTTCCCATACATGGATATCCCTTTTAATCCCAGGTAGCATTTCCATAGTCATGCAGGTCCCCCCATGTACCCAAGATGGTTACATGTAACCCACAGAATCACCAGAAGGTACTCCACCTAGTCACTGACAGGATTCATACCAGTTTAGCTGCAGCCTCACATTACATCATGCGCCTTTTCATTATATGTTAGTATCACAAGAATGTTAAGTGATACACTTCTGTTACTTTCCAGTGCTACAGAACTTGCTATTGTGACTTTGCTTATAAAGCTGCATGTATTCTTCTGGAAAATACAGACTGCACTAAAATTTATACTTCAAACTGGTATTAATCTACCAGTACAAATTGCTTCTCTTTCGCTCTATAGATGACAGCCGTATTATAGAAATATTATAGTTAGAAAACAGGCTAAAACAGACTGGAATTTATGCAGTTTTCTGTGACATTCTCTCTTTGTACACAGTCAGACACCAACGCAAACGTTTGTGATAAACAGACTGTAGGAAGCAACAGGTAGTCGTATTATTATGGGTTTATTTGAAGGGAAAAGACTACAATTTCAACATTTTTTATCGTTACCAACCCCATGTAAACGCTTTTAGAATCTCTGAACACGAAAATCTAGACAGCGATGATGCCCTTTTGCATTTTACATTTTCTGCTCATATAGGTCACTTTTAGGTTGACGTCCCTCGCTTGAAAAAGAAAAGGCCCATTATTAACGGGAGAAAAGGTGACAGCCAAGAGGCCTATCAGGCTCTGGCGGCTGGGAAGAAGACCAGGCCGCCCACAAACAATCCCAGGTTTGTCAGGAAGCATCCTACCGAGATGCATGGGCGGGACGAGGGGCCTCGTATACTCGCTAGAAAGGCACCGCGCGACCCTCCCCCCTGGGGCAACTGCGGCCCAACCACTCCCTGCCACTGTGGTCCAATCGACCCCACCAGAACAGAGAGAAAGGAGCCCAGGTGGCTCAGTATCGCCCTCAGCCAGGTTCTACTTACTACGAAAGGTTAAGACGGGAGGAATCTCCCGTCCGGGAGGAGGGCGAATGGGAGACTCGCGGGGCTCACAGCTGGACACGAAGACAACGTGCTCCCGCTGCCACCCGGCCAAAATGGCCGCCGCCCCGAAAGGAGGAGCCGGTGCCGCTCACCATAGAGATAAAGGTCTATGAAGTATCCGTTAGCGTAGCCATGATCGAGCGCCGGAAGTACATGGAGTGGCGTCTGTGAGCGAGAAGGGAGACGGGCGTGGTGACGTCATTACCTAGCGACGACGTGTCTCTACATTGGCGATAGTCCGCGAGGCGGGGTTCAATTGTGCCGGCCGTTGCCAGTGTGAGTAACTGTTCCGTTCTGTCCCCTCCTTTGTCCTGCCCGCATTTGCCCGTACGACCCCCCCCCCCCATTTCACCTTTCTCTCAGGCAGAACAAATCCTAATAATATATATTTTTAAAACGTGCTTCGGACCAACACGGCTACCCTCCTGAATCTACCTCTTTAAAACGTGTAATTCTCTAGCACCAGGTAAAGGGGCTGTACAATCGGGTTTAAATATAAAACAAATCGCGCGTCAAATGAAGCGCAAATGTAAGAGTGTAGTAGTGAGAGGGAAGTGCAGCTGCAGAAATACTCAGGCAATGCAGGGAATCACTGCTCATAAAGCCAGAGAAATGTTATATATGTGAGAAAGTCTCCTTTATTTAAAGACGGATTTTAATAGCACAAATGCCTCTGATCTTAGTTTGGTTGTTTCAGGATGTTGTCTAGATCCAGACATACTTTATGCCTTGATCTGAGCTTGTTTGCCTAAGACAGTAACGTTCCTGCTAGTATGTTGCCTCAGTAGGATGGGATGAAATGGGAGGTTGTTATTTGATTGGTGGCAGATGGGCTGTAACTCTGATTATAGTTACAAGTAATGTAAGCTGCCCTGAGCTTGCTTGCGGGGAGGGCGGGATAAAAATACTACAAATAAATAAATAAATTAGGGTTTTTTTACTTGTCTTACATGTCTTTTGACATGTAATAGACACTGAGGCACTCCCTGAGCACAGAGCATAGAAGTTGAGATGGAGAGCTCTGTGTAAGAGCATGCTGTTCAGGGATGAAACACCCATGCCATGTGCCAGAGGTAGAGCCTTATGTAAAAACTGTTTATGTTTAAATGTAATTATTATACACACTGGCCCATGCATGTTGACTGAACTGCTAGTGTTAAAGACAAATTGGGTAGTACATAAATTGTGCATTTAAACATGTCATGTTTCCATGAATAAGTGCTATGATCTACATGTTGTCTGAACTCTCAGGCATTCAAAGCAAACACATGTACATTACAAATTTAGCCCCCTCCCTGTGTCTCAGTGAATCTTTTTGACTTAGTGCCCTTCGATTGATTTGGGGGTTTGCAAAATTCAGTGGCAATGGCAATCCTTCTTGGTTGGGAAGGGTGGCTGTAGAAACCTGGAAAACCTGTACTACTGCACACCAAGTAGTGGGGACATGGGGTTACAAACATCAGGATAGGGAGGTGCATAATACTGTTGAAGTGTTGGTTCGCTCTGTCTGTATGTGTGACATGTGAATGGCTTGTGTATTAGTACTGGATATTACAAATAATGCATCTCTACTTTTATGTGTATTTTAAAAAGGCACTGGATTTCCATCTTCTGGTCATGCTAAGTATTCATTGTGTATAAGCTCGGTACTTTTCAATATTTTTATCAATGATCTGGATGAAGGGGTAGAAGGGCTACTCATTAAATTTGCTGATGATACCAAATTGGGAGAATTAGCAAACACCCAAGAAGATAGAGTTAAAATTCAACAAGACCTGAATACTCTGGAGAAGTGAGCAGTTGCAAACAGGATGCAATTCAACAGAGTTATATGCACAGTATTACATCTGGGTCACAAAAATGTCAAGCACAAATACTGGATGGGGGATACATTTCTGGGGAGTAGTGTATGAGAAAGAGATCTTGGGGTAAGATTGGACTGTAAACTAAATATGAGCAGTCAGTGTGATGCGGTGTTAAAAAAGGCAAATTCAGTCTTGGGTTGTATTAAAAGGGCCATAACATCGAAATCACAGGAGGTCATAGCCCCTCTGTATACTGCCTTGGTCAGGCCACATCTTGAGACTTGTGTGCAGTTTTAGAGGCCTCACTTCCAAAAGGATGTGGACAAAATCGAGAGGATGCAGAAGAGAGCGACGAGGATGATCAGGGGTCTGGAGACTGAACCCTACGAGGAAAGGCTAAGGGCCTTGGGAATGTTTAGTTTGGAGAAGAGGAGATTGAGGGGGGACATGATTGTTCTCTTTATATATTTGAAAGGCTGTCATTTGGAGAAGGGCAAGGAGCTGTTCCAGTTGGCAGCAGAGGATAGGACCCGAAACAACGGGTTTAAATTACATGCAGAAAGGTATCGACTGGATATTAGGAAGAACTTTTTCACGGTCAGAGTAGTTCAAAGGTGGAATCAGCTGCCTAGAGAGGTGGTTAGCTCCCCTTCACTGACAGCTTTCAAGAAGAGGCTGGACGAATATTTGTCAGAGATGCTTTAGGCTGATCCTGCATTGGGCAGGGGGTTGGACTACTAGATGGTCTGTATGGCCCCTTCCAACTCTATGATTCTGTGATAAGAAACCAAAATGAATGAAGAGGAAATTTTAAGTTTGAGAACTCTTTTGCTCTTTTATTCATTTAATTTTTTTATCTTGCCATCTACCAAGGATCTCATGGTTACAGCATACATAGTTCTTGTTTTTTTCTTCATAGTAATCTTGTAAAATAAGTTAGAGTGGCAGAGAATAAATGGGCCAAGGATGGGGAGCTTCACTGCAGAAAGAGTCTGACCTTGAGTCTCTTCAGTTCCAGAGTGACATCTCTCCCTTATAATAAAGCAGTAGTGGGGACCAACGTTCTAAAATGCCCGCCTTTAGTGTTTGGCCGGAAGACCTGCCACTCAGAAGACACTGGCTGGGTTGACTGGCTGCTTTGTGCAGTCCCGCCCAGCGTTTCAAGGTCTTTTGCATATGGAAGCTGATTGGACTTCACTCCATTCCACGGACTATGGACCATTCACACACTTTCAACCATAACATACCTCATAGGGTAGTTGTGTGGATCATACGGGGGAGATGAGAATGATGTCAGCTGCTTTGGTTCCCACTGCAGGGAAAGACTGCCCTTTCCCTAGGCAGAGGCTGGATGTGTGTGTGTGTAAAACTTAAGACAGACAGGCAGATAAAGGTTGGCTGATGGTTGCCAACTCCAGGTTGGAACTCCAGGACATAGGGTTGCCAACTCCAGGTTGGAAACTTCCAGGATATTTTAGGGATGAAGCCTGCTGAGGGTGGAATCTGAGGAGGAGGAGGAAGAGGGGGACCTCAGACAGATACAATGCCATGCTGCCCACACTCCAGACAAGCTGTTGCCAGTCTCCAGGTGACAGCTGGAGAGATCTTATAGCTTTGGTGCTACTTCAAAGTTCCCCAGGAGCCCAAAACAGAGTAGTGTTTTGGAAAATCTTTAGGAATTGTTTGGTGCATTTACGATGGGGCTCCTGGGGAACTATTGTTGCCAATCTTGGCCCAGCAGCCATCAAACCATTCTCTTCAACCCCCTGCTGTGCAGCTGACTTTCCCCTAGGGTTGCCAATCTCCAGGTGGGACCTGGAGATCTCCCACTGTTACAATTGATCTCCAGATGACAGAGATCAGTTCCCCTGGAGAAAATGGATGCTTTGGAGGGTAGACCCTATGACATTATACCTGCTGAGTCCTTCTGCCCCCCCTCCAATGCTGCCCTCTACAGAATCCACCCCCCAAACCTCCAGGTATTTCCCTCCTTAGAGCTGGCAACCCTACATTCCCCTCAGTGCCTGTTGGTAGGCAACTAAGCTTGGTCCTGTCACCTACTTTGGCCTTTGGGAGAAAACACATTGGGGCCAGTCCTGATAGGGTTGCCAACTCCAGATGGGAAATTCCTGGAGATTTGAGGGATGGAGCCTGAAGAGGGTGAGGTTTGAGGAAGGGTGGGACCTCAGACAGGTACAATGCCATAGACTCCACCCTCCAAACCAGTCAGTCCCTCATAGGGAACCATTGTTGCCAATCTCCAGGTGAGGGCTGGAGAGCACTCAGAATTACAACTGCTCTGCAGAAGGGGGGGCAGAAGTCAGCTGAAGTCAAAGGGGCAGATAATGGTAGGTTGATGGTTAGCTGGGAAGGAGATGGGGTTGCCAACTACATGCTGACAAATTCCTGGGGATTTGAGGGGTGGAGCCTGGAGAGGGTGGGGTTTGCGGAGGGGTGGGACCTCAGACAGGTAGAATGCCATAGACTACACCCTCCAAACCAGCCATTTTGTCCTGGGTAACAATTGCTGCCAATCTCCAGGTGAGGGCTACAGATCACTCACAATTACAACTGCTCTTCAGGTAGCAGAGATCAGTTCCTCTGGAGAAAACAGTGGACTCTGTCATTATACCCTGCTGAGGTCACCGCAGCAAATTGACACTGTTTGCCCAAAGCCAGAGCACTGCCCCAGAGCCTCTTTCTAGATCTCGTTGTATTGCTTTCACAACGGGCTTTACTGCTAGTATATATAGAAAGGAAGAAAGGGGGGACGTGAGGGAGGGGAAAAGAAGGAAGGGAAACCAGAACTAACTTTAGCCTATTGGCTGGACGTCTGATACTGCCCTCAACCATAGGCCTGGCAGAACAACTCTGTTTTGCAGGCCCTGCAGAATTGTACCAGATCCCGCAGGGCCCTGATCCCTCGTGGAAGAGAGTTCCACCAGGCTGGAGCCAGAGCTAAAAAGGCCCTGGTTGAGGACAGCCAGACACTGTTTGGGCCAGGGACCACCAGTAGATTTTGATCACTTGAGAGTAATGCTCTATGGGGGACATAACAGGACAGGCGGTCCCGGAGGTATGCTGGTCCCTGATCGTGAAAGGCTTTAAAGTTCAACAACAGATATTGAGGTATCCATATATTTTCCAGCACATAAGTGATCTCTGTCACTAACATGTAACTTTGTCTCAGTATTTAAAACCAATGAAAAGCAGCTGCCCTTTACACAATGCGCGCACACACACACACACACACAGTTATTATAATAAACTGCTGTTTTCCCTATGTAAGAAGAAGAAAAGTCCCCATATCAGCTAGTGGTGAAATATCATGCTTTTGAGTGGAAAGCAGCCAGAAGGCATCTTCCTTACTGCTGGCTTTCCATTAAGACTTGCTGCTTTCCGAGAGATGATGGCCCTGCGGGATCTGGTACAATTCTGCAGGGTCTGCAAACCACTGAAGCAAAGTTACATGCGACTGCAAGTCTTGGCCCTCAGAATAACAAAAATGTAGTACATAAAGAGAGTCTGAAAAATGCAGTTCTCTGTTGTTGTGGAAAGGCCTTGTGTCCTAGTTCAGAAAGTCCTCTGGGAAGAACAGCTGAAGTCAGAATCTCTTGGTTAGAGAAAGAATCAGAGGTTGCAAACAGTAGATTTTTAGAAATGGAAAAAGAAGTTTAATCACCATGTATTGTATTGTTTGTCTTCCGGAAATAAGAAATACGTTGTGGTGACTGAGTTATTGCACATTAGCTCTGTAATCCTGGGCCCATGAAAACATTCCTAGTTTGCGTCCCATGAAAATTCTGTTTTCCAGCAATGAAAGTATACGTTCTGATTATTCAAATGGAAAACTGCTGCTGAAGAAACAATTAGGTACATGGCTGAAAACCACATATTCTTGACATTTTGAAGAATGTGAAAAGAGTTTAGAACCCACATCTGACACAGTGGAAATTGTTCTTGCTATTAATAAGTTTGAAAGTATTCCAGTAGCTGTAACTAATACAATTTAAAGGTCTCTGTGACTTTTCCCATCATACAGTCATTTTTTAATTCATTCCAATGGCTTTCTAGTGTGTTAGTCACAACAAAAACATAAAGAACTATTTTATTCTTACATTGTTTATGCTAAGTAGATGAAGACAAAAAAAAGAATGAAAAAGGTCCTGCCTACTTCAGTTCCGTGTGCAAAGCACAGATCTTGTTCCTGTTCAAATCAAGAACAGGCCATTTGCCTCATTTTCTGTCCAGGGAGCAACTTTTTGTGAAGAGTTCATATAGCACAACCTTGTGTTTCAGAAATTTAAGTTCCATTGATTTCAGTGAGATATATTCCTGTGTAGGTGTGTATAGGATTGCAGCCTAAATGTTGTAATAGACCGTTCATTCTCTGGAACCCACTTGCTCCTTAGGAGTCTCCCACAAGGATACTTGAGGAATAATATTCCTGAGGATTGTAGTTTTAAGTACTATGCCCCTGTGTTCAGTACTTACGTGTCTGCCTCAGCCTAAAGTGAAGCTGTAGTAAGGTGCTGTTCTTATTAAAAGAAATTGACTACATTCCTCCCCATTTCCTGCTCTTTTGCCACTCTTGTCCTCTCATATTTTATCTTTAATTATAAAATGTCTGAATGCTGCTTTTTTGTTTTTAAAGGTGAGTACTTTGCATGTCTAAAGTGGCATTCCTGTGCATCCTTACCTGGGATTAAGTCCTGTGGAACTCATTCAGGTTTACTTCTGAGTATAACACCTTAAGCTTGTTCCCTTAGTGTATTATTGAAGACACAGAAAGTGACACCTGATCATTTTTAGCATCTTTATAGTTGTAAATGTTGGGTGTATATGTGTGTGCACTCATGTGTGTTTATGTGTAAATGAAAGAGAGAGTGCATCTGTGGTAGTTGCTATGCTAACATCAAGTTTAGCTGATTACTAAATCTGCAGAGTTTAGCTTTATAGTTAGTTAAAGGGACTATGGATCATAACCAAAGATTGTTATGTTTATGGCAGATCAGAATCTTTTCTGTTTTCCCTATTGTTATGAAAACAGATTTTTTTGAAATAATCTTTCACAAATGTCATCTTTTTCTAGTGAAAAATGACCACCACGAACAAGACCCCTCCTGGTGCAGATCCAAAGCAGCTGGAGAGGACAGGAACTGTTCGGGAAATCGGATCACAAGCTGTTTGGTCACTTTCCTCTTGTAAGCCAGGTAAACTGCAAATTCAAAGGGCAAGCAGACTGACCAGATATATCCCGGATGAATTTGAGCTGCTTGGATGGAAAGTTATTTTCCTGGGATAATTTACATTAGCGGAGTAGATCTTTAGATGCTACTGTTTTATTTAAACAATTCTCTTTCAGGGCCACCTGTGCTACTTTGGTATGTTGATATGGCAAGTAATTGCTTTGTCATAATATTGCATGTAATTACCATTGTGAAACTGTTTGGCCTCTGATGATACTATAATGTACTATATAATCACAGACCTGGTCTCCATTGTATGTATTGTCCTGTAAACTGGGGCTTGACAACTTGGTCAGCACTCTGGACCACCTTAAAAGTTTTACGTATGAAATTTAATTTTACTTATTAATCTCCTGCTGGTTTAACAAATGTTGAGTGGTAAGCCACCAGGCATATGTTTGTGCTTCCCTGCTTTTCTTTTCCTCTAAAAAAAACTTTCCAGGAATTTGGGAAATTATGGGCTATTCCTTCTCCCTAGTAGTAGAAAAGCTAACCTTGATGATATTGTCCTAGTACACATTTTCCCACCAAATGCTGAGATATAACAGAGCTTCTGCTTCCTGCAGTAAACTTACAGATCATGAGCTTGGGTGGGGTGACTGGCTCCGTGACAGAGCATTTGCTCTGCATGCTGAAAGTCCCAAATTTAATCCATGGCATCTCCAGTTAAAAGGAGGAAATAGTAGGTGGTGAGGGGGACCCACCAGGACTTGCAGGGGCCATCTCATTTCCCTCTCTCTCCACTATTTCTTCTTTCTGATCCATGGGAGCCTGTATTGCCTCTCCTCTCTTCCTGCTTCCTTCTCTCCACAGTCACCGGCCAGTCTACCTTTACCTGCCCCCCCCCCCTACAGCTTTCCTTCCTTCCCTCCCCTGGCAGCCTTTGCCTGAGAAAACTGTTGCGGAGGTGCGCCTTGCCCAGCTCAAGTGCCCAGTGGAGAACCTGCAAGGACTTGCAGGGGGACCTCAGTTGCTCCTGTATCCCCCTCACCACACGATTTCGTCTTTCTCTTCTCATGGCATCTTTCCCTGCTTCCTTCTCTCTCTCCCTCCCTTCCACTCACCAACCAACCAACCTTTTATTTGCCTCCCATTTTCATCTATATTTATTTATTTACTTTGTTTATAATCCATCTTTCTCTGCAATGGGGAATCAGTTCTCTTATCCTCCATTTTATCCTCACAACTATATGAAGCACGCTAGGTTGAGAGGGTGTGACTGGCCCAAGGTTATCCAGTGATAAGGTTGACCACTTAAAGGTGTTATCTGGAGGTCATCTTGAATTATACCTGATCTCCAGGCTACTAAGATCTGCTGGAGGAAATGGCTGTTTCGGAGGGTGGACTCTATAGCATTATATCCCATAGAAGTCCCTCTGCTCCCCAAACTCCTCCTTCCCCAGGAACCAATCCCAAATTTCCAGGAACTTCCCAACTTGGAGTTAGCAACCCTACTCAGTGTGGGAATTTCAAGACAGGTCTCCCAGATTGTAGTCTGAAACACTAATTACTGCACCACACTGGCTTTTGTGCAGTGGCTACTGTTGAATGGAACTGAACAGCTGGGTCTGCTAGTGATTGCTGCCGAGTTTAATTGTAGATTGTTGTGTTGTTTCAATATAACCCCTGTGGATTTAGAGAGAGTACTCAAGTCTGCCTAGAAAATTAAGTGATGATGTAGGGATTTTAATATGTGTCTTCAGAGTCCAAGCACAATTCTTTTTCTCCTACATCACCTTATTGGCTGTTTGTAAAAGCTAGGTTGACAAGTTTCCAGTAACCCTGTGAAGCCAATGAAGCTTACTCGGTAGTTCACACTTCTGCGATTAATATAAATAAAAAAAAACAACACTATTTATCCACAGTTCAGTCTTCTGAAAAATTCATTGGATCCACTACCCTGAATATGTTGCAAATTGACTTCTAAGTAATCATTAACTCTAAAAATGTCTGCCTGTTTACTCGCATATGCTATTCATTTCCAAAATAACTATTGGATTTTGGACATCTTCTGTAATATTCCACAACAGAGGCAGGGTTAAAGTTACTGTTCTATTTACCCTCCTCATTTCTGCTATCCAAGATGTGCAGATAATCCTATCATGTATACTTCTATTGGGTAGTTTCATCTTCCCCGCTGATCAGCATTATGTCCCTATTTGTAGCCTAGAAAGAAGAGATGTTGGGTCAGTCTTAAATATGCGTATTTGTGGAACATTAATTTGATTGCATTTTGTTCATGGAATCAACTGTGGGGTACATGTACTACTGAGACTGGCACATGTATATAGTCCAGTCCTTTCAGATCCTTCACTCTTAGGTAGAACTGCCACCATCTGGAGGTTAACTCTTTGTGGTCCTGATTGACTGGTACAGAACTGGGCAAGTTCTTTTGTCTCCAGCAAGGCATGTTAGAATCTTCATGTATGAATGCCCACTGGTATCTAAACACATGTCACAGCCTGGACAGTGCTGCAGTCTCAGACAGTCCTGTAGATATGGCTTCTCCTGTCATGAGCCTCCTTCATCCTTCTTTTTCTCTTTTCTCCAGTTTTATCTGCTGTGGAGCAAAATGGGACTCTTTCTTGTGGTGGAGGGAGAAATGGGCAGTAGGATTTGGGAGAAGCAGGGCTGCAGCTGCCAGACTTCTTTGTAGTTGTGGGACTGTTAAAAAGACCAGCAGGCTCCCTGGCTTGCAACTGTGCAGGCCTGAATTTAACACAGGGCTCAATACATTAAAAAATAAATAAACAAGATTTGGTGATTGGTTTGTAGGTGTATTCAGTCTCCTGAACAGATGAATAAGGTAGCTAATAATTGTTCAGTTTATGGAGTTCATAAATTGTATTATGTAGGTATTTGATGGAGATTTATCAGTGGACGCTTTTTGCTCTGAGAAACAAAGGTTGCCAGATTTCCTATGCTTAAAATACCAAAATTTTGAGGTAACCTTGCCAGCATCTTGTGCCAACCTATCACTGCCAAAGCTCTGCATATCACTCCAAAAGAGCACCGCTGTCCTGCCCTTGATCATGTTCTCTTCTTCCTCTAACCAGGAAGCTGCCTGTTTTGCTTATTTATCCAGTCTGAGTGGGATATTCAGGTGTACCAGCAGATGGTACTGATCCATCTGCAATTTTTCATTCAATTCATGGCTCCTTGAGTTCTGGCCTAAGAGGAAAGGCAAAGTCCAGCAAGAGCTCTTCATCTTGTTCAATTTATTGGACTGCTGAGGAGTTTCACTTGGAAGCAACTTGCTATTTACATAGTGCCAAAGTCTATGAGCCTTTTTGTTCATATTAGGATTTGGTGTGGACCAGTTACGAGATGATAATCTAGAAACATACTGGCAGTCTGATGGATCACAGCCTCATTTGGTGAACATACAATTCAGGTATTAAATGTTTAAATATATTTGTGTGCGTTGGACTTTATACAGTTGCCTACTTACACTGAAAGAAGTTAGAAGTTGTGGGTGCAGAAGGAATACATCATTATGCCAGTTAAATTAGTGATGTTTTCATAATTATATTTTCTTTGAATGCTACTGTTAAGTAGTATCATTTGGAAACCAGTTTACTGAGGTTTCATACAGCTGATGGACACTTGGCTTTTTGATACAGTAAACCTGAATCAACAGTCCTTGTTTCTGTAGGCACAGAATCCCATGGATTTTCTTGATCAGGTTTGGTCATTATGTTGCTATTAGTACTGAATTCTGTCTACTTCCATGTTGACTTCCCTCCCCCCTGTTTTGTTATGTGCTCATCCAGGCTGAAGAAGAGTTAGGCTTATCTAGTTTAACAGTCCTCCACTTGTCTGCATGTGATTACAACTGTGAATGTACTGTGGGTTGAGTCTTATTCCATGATGTCAGCTGAAGGTATCCTGCAGTGGAAGAGTGATGCAAAAGATGTTTGTCTGAAGCTTTGGAAAGCTGCTGCTAGTCAGAGTAGATAGACCAGTGGTCTGAGCAGGCCCATAGTCACGGTGGAGCATTTGGGGACAGAGGCCCACCACAGATGAGCCTTGCCCCACCCTGGGAGGATCCCAGACCCCCCACCGCACCTGCGCCCCTTACCCCTGCCCTTCCATGGCCTCACCGGCTCTTCCAGTGAAGCCGCCCTGCCCTTTCTGGTCAGTTTCACTCCCCTCAGATCACCTGTTAAACCTAACAGCTGATCAGAGGGGAGTGAAACTGACCAGAAAGGGCAGGACAGCTTCTCTTTCTTTCCCCAGCCTCCCTGTTGCTGTAGGGCAGCTGGGGAAGGAAAGAGCCAGCCCCCTACAGCAGCTGGGAGGCTGGGGAAGGAAAGGGAAGGTGTCCTGCTGCTTCTGGTCAGTTTCACTCCCCTCTGATCAGCTGTTAAACCTAACCCCTCTGATCAGCAGCTGATCCCATGGGAGTGAAACGGACCAGAAGCAGCAGGGCAGTTCTGGAAGGGAAGGCCCCTAAGTGACTTGCCCCCCCCCCCACCTGCTGCCCACCAACACTTTTCTGGCTACAGGGGTGGGTCTGACTAGGGATATGGCAGCTACACATGTGTACAGTGAGCTTGACTCTCAGGGGAATTTATGTATGGCTCAGCTCTTAATGTGTTTAATGTGATCTCAAGTGACATCATGAAGCAGATAAATACTGCTGGGTTTCTGCTCTGAAGAATTCAAGGTAATGTTTTTGCCTGGCCATAGATGCTGATAACTTTACAGCGTAGTCCTGTGCAGAGTCACTCCAGTCTTAGCACATTAACTTCAGTGGGCTGATGCTGGAATAACTTTGAATGCAATACTACTATATGTTTTCCAGAGACAGATTTAATCCTTTTTGATGTTTTCCACCTGGCTATCAGACTGAGGAGGAAGGTATAGTCAAGTTTGTTCAGAAAGCAAAACATATTTTGGTTGGCATTTTTGAAATCAGTACCATGGTTTTGTGTGAGACACATAATATAAAGTGTGTCTTTTTCCAGATATATTTTTAAATATGTATAATATTGTTATTTATGTGAGATGACAAAAGAGGCTGTTAAATTAATTCCTACTGCTTGAACCTTTCAAAATTAAATATGGGCATTTACTTCTTACAAGGTTTAAATGCTGATGTTTCTTGTTTCCAGAAGAAAAACAACAGTGAAGACACTTTGTATTTATGCAGACTATAAATCAGATGAAAGCTACACTCCAAGCAAGATCTCCGTCAGAGTAGGAAACAACTTTCACAACCTACAGGAAATCCGGGTACATGCATCATACTGCTTAATATCGTATGTTAGGAAGGTATTCTTCATTTTAAAATGACATCTATAGCGTTTCACATAGAGACAACACAAAAATGGGGGGTGGGGAGTTCAAATAACAAAAAGCTAGTCTCTAACCATAAATTAAGTTCTTCCCACGTTCTCATAGTTCCATTATTGTTTTTAAAAGGATCCATTTAGTTGAATATGGGATCCTGTAGAGAAAGCTACTTTAAGAAATAAATTCATCCACCACCATGGGAAGGTATACAGTCAAATGTACATATAAATAATGACAAAAAATTCATGTACGTATCTTTTTGTGTCATGCAATTTATTTATTTTATATTTATAGTCTGCCTTTCCCACAGGGACTCAAGGCAAATTACACATAATTATTCAGGACAATCAGCAAAATAGGATACTCAGTAAACAGTGCAGTAGAATTGTAGGAGGCTGGAACCAACCACAATGAACTGAAGGATAGCATAGGTATTAACATGACGCATTAAACAGTACAAAAATTACATAATAGGATTCCAATTACAGTAAGCTTTACACAGGTGTATAGACCACAGTCCCTAATCATTTATCCAAGGAAGTTTGTAAACTATTTTGTACAGTGCAGCTATTGACTATTCAGCCAATTTTTAACCCTCCTGCTTAAACTTTCAGTTCTTATCCTAACATGATCATGGCGGTGTCTAAATTGCCCTGTTAAAAAAACATGTTAAAAAGTAGATCATATCCACACACATGCTGTTGCATTAGAAAATTAGTAAGAGATTTGAGCAACAGTGCCAAGAAGGTATTATAGTTTATCCTACCAGTGCAACAAGCCAGACTTTGGTGTTAGGAAACAGAGGCAAGAGTTTCTGTGTTTGTATCTTGAAAGGGGGAGAACAAAGCAGAACTTCTGAAAAGCTTTGTGGATTAAAGTGTTTGAAGTCAGAACTAGACCCTGCTCGTTTTTCGTCTTGATCTTGCCTTATTTTCCCTCCTTGCTGCATCCCCTGTCCTTTGTGGCTTTTGTACACATGGTGCCTACAATCCTCAAGACAGTGTTTTTGATGGTCAAAAGGGAGGCCTCTTCCTCCCTCATTGGCCAATGGAAAAGCTTATAGGATTCAACCCGCATTTCATAAATCCTCCCGAAGAGGCACTTCTTGCTAGGCTTGCTGTATTCATTCCCTAAGCAGGTTTCTGGAGAACAGTAAGATAACCTCCCATTTTGTGTACAGTTTTAAGCTGTTTGGCAGTGTTAATTCCAGGGCTTGCCACAAACATGACATTAGCTACAATTTAGGGAGTATTATCGGAAGAATGCATTGTCCAAATTCTCCTGTGGCACAAATTCTTCTTGTCTTCCACCCAAGTTCAGCATGAAGTACAGCTTTTGCCCAGCTGGATTAATGTAAATGTAAGAATTGTCTGCAAACTTAATTTGAAAGTTTCGCAACAGTTTCGCCACACAAGGTGTCATCATTCCCTATTGGCAGGTTTCACTGTCTAGAACCAACAAGACAGCAAAACACAAATGCCTATTTAATGAGGCAAGAGAACTTGCTGCTTTTTAAGAACATTTTCTGACATGTTAATAAATATGCTTCTCTTAACAATGTTTTTGGTTGAAAATGTTTGCCTATTCAAGAAGCGCTGCCATTGTTCTGAATTGACTTTGTCCTCATTGAGATCACTAGATAGCAGGGGTGGCCAAACTTGCTTAACATAAGAGTCACATAGAATAAACATAAGATGTTTGAGAGCTGCAAGACATGAACAAATATTTCACACACGTTTTTACTGAAAAATATACAAATTTGCTTTTTATTAACATTAAATGAGACGGCCAAAAATAAAAACAAAAGGGGTAAAAACCAGATATTGATAATGATATTTATTTATCCAATGATACTTGTAGGCTGCGTTTAAAAGAATGCATTTAACGTTTCTTTATTTCTCTGTCCCCCATCCCCCCCCAAGCAAACCCAGGGAGGGGAGCACTGGCTGGGGAAGGGAAGACCGGTCAGGGAGGCATGCCTCCCCTTTGCTTCCCCAGTTGCCCTACTGGGAGCCGCTCAATATGTGTGAAAGAGCCGCATGTGGCTCCCAAGCTGCAGTTTGGCCACCCCTGCTACATAGCCATTTAAGTTTGGCTACATAGTATTGTTCAGTCACTCTATTTATTGCAAGATTCCCAATTAGCTAATATCATATATCTGACTCATCCAGAAAGCATTGCACTTACTCTGAAATGGCTTTGCCCTCAGTGATGTCATTGTAGACAAATCTGACTGGCTCTATGTCAATATGACATCATCCTTTGCACTATATAATCCATGACTGGCCATCTGCCCATGACTTATTCAGGAAAGAAACTAAGGGGGAGCACGGTGTATGGTAGGTAAAACATTACACATCACAGATTTCTAATCAGCACTTGTCTGTGCACATTAATAAAGATTGAAAATATAATTGCACACATCCAAGGAAAAATTCCAAAGACAAAACATGCAGTTGCAAGTTATACACACATACTTGCATATATGGTATTGTAAAATATGATGCTTATACATCCATATAAATCCATTGCCTGACAGAGAACAGCCAATAGGAATCCAGTGGCTGCTGCTATATGAAACAAGTTCTCTGTTGTACTAAGGGCCACACAGAGATTTCAAGTTTGTCTTGTGAGAGTGAGCCAGCATATTGAGCAGCAAGTTTTCCGCTGTCACAGGCAGGAAATTTATTAGCAGGGAACTCATCTGACTTGAGTTCTTCTGATGAAGAAAATCTTGAAACCGTATATAATACTGGATTCCTGTTGATTGATCTCTGTTCTCTGTTCTGTGAAATGGATTTGTATATATGTGTAAACTGCATATTTTATACCACTATATATGTAAATATGCTTGTGTAAAATGAGTTCCAACTGTGCATTTTGTCTTTGGGATTTTCCTTGGATATGTGTAATTATATTTTGAATTTTTATTAATGTGTACAGTGTAATGCTTGATGAGCTTTTTGTAATTCAGGAAAAAGACACAGTAATGGGAAGACAAGAAGTAGAAGCTGTGCAGATTTGTCAGTGAACAGGATAAAAAAGTGAATATTCTTTCAATAAAACTTAAAAACATAAGAGAAGTCATGTTGGATCAGGCCAATGGCCCATCTAGTCCAGCACTCTGTGTCACACAGTGGCCAAAAACGAGGTGCCATCAGGAGGTCCACCAGTGGGGCCGGACTCCAGAAGCCCTCCCTGTTGCCCCCCAAGCACCGAGAATACAGAGCATCACTGCCCCAGACAAAGTGTTCCATCTATACCTTACAGCTAATAGCCACTGATGGACCTCTGCTCCATATGTTTATCCAATCCCCTCTTGAAGCTGTCTATATGCTTGTAGCCGCCACCACTTCCTGTGGCAGTGAATTCCATGTGATAAATTTTTGTGTGGGGTGGGGGTGTGTGGATACTTCTGTACCAGGTCCAAAAGCACTGCTTTCAACCTGAAAACCAAAAGGGGAGAATGTTCTGCATATCCCTACTTTTTATCTGTGCTTGCATATTTTGTTTTCCTTGTCCACTAGGTGTCACTGTTGGCTTTAAATGTTAGCTTTTGGAGTCCTCCTGCTGTCTACTACTAATAATGACAATGCCTTTATAATAGTTTGTTATTCTAAATATAACATTAGTATTTGCAGGGGGGGAAGGCCTGAAAATTTCTGTTCTTTAGGCCATCCTTGATCTGCATATATGTGATAGGTTTTTGAGAGTGCACTTCCATTGACAATTTGAGGTACAACAGGCTTTTGTAGAGACTAAACTCAGTTTTCTGTTGTCAAACTAGTATTTTCCTGGTATTTGTTTCCCTTGTGTATGGGATTTTTTTTTTGCTGTCTTACTACATTATTAAATGGTGCTGCATAGCAAAAAAATTCTTTGCAGCTCTCTTCACCCTGTAATTTAACACCAAAATAATAAAAAATATGGGCTATTATTTAATGAACTTTAAAAAATCTTCATGTTTTTGTATATAGCATAACTTTTTAATGGCTACCTAAAACATAGAAAATGCAAGGGAAATGTGTTTTTCTCTGCTCCCTCCTGATTCTAGAAGTGAGTATCACTTTGTTCCATGGGCTTTACTCTCAAATAAGCATGCATAGGATTGCAAGCTCAGCTTTTCTGGGGGTTGGTATTCACATGGATCTGTGTATATGGCCATGAATTCAAATAGTTTGTGATTTGTCCGTACCTTTTTAACTTGATAATGACTCAATATAATGACGGGTAAGTCATTAAAGAAGGCAGTGTGATTATAAGATCTTTTGACCAAAGTCACTTCATTGTACAATGATTCCTTGATTTCAGGCAGATTAACTGCCTGGAAAATCCAAGTAAATCTTTTAAAATAATATTTTTCCATGGATGCTTGCCCAGCTCATGGTGTATAATGAAAATCCTATGATATAGTCTTGTGTTTTTTTTCCCTTTTGTCAACTGATGAGTTATAAAACAATGACTTCTTAATGTCCACTGGGATTTTTGCAGCTAATATGAGGTATACATTTGTCTTCCCTGGAGCAGCTACTCTGATCTGGAAAAGATTTAAAGCTGGGGACCAAAATATTTTCTTGTCCTCTGAAAATTTCCAGCCTCTGGAAATAGCATTTGAGCTACATTTTTCAAGCTGTGGAAATCAGGAGGATCCATTTCAGAAGGAATAGTGACTTCGTCATATGGGCTAGTTATGCTAGTTGTTTTTTGCCAAGGAGGTTTGCCAAGGAAGAGAATTCTGATGTAGGGCAGTTCAGATTAAGGTTGCCCACTCCTGGCTGAGCTGCTTCTGTTACTTTATATCCCACTGAGACTCAAGATGGATTACACAAGTGTGAATCAATGCAATCATAGGATTAGGACTGCAGCAATCTTAAAGCAAAGAGTATTAGGCATGATATGTTAACAAGTGCAGAAAATAGTATTACATAAGCATCAAAACA